AACCTGTCTTACAGCCACCAGATTTCAGCAAAAAGTTTTTGCTCACAACTGATGCATCTCAGTTTGCTATTGGCGCTGTATTAAGCCAAAACAATCACCCTATATATATCACGAGATAAGATACTCAACAATAGAGAAAGAAGCTCTTGCAATGGTTTGGGCCGTTAAGCATTTTAGAACATATTTATACAGTCGAAAGTTTATAATACAAACTAACCATTGACTTGGCTACATAATCTGAAAGAGCCTAATATGAAATTACAGAGGTGGAAAATTCTTCTTAACGAATATGATTTCGAAATAACTTATATAAAAGGAAAAGATAATAATGTGGCAGACACATTAAGCAGATACCTTGAGCAATATAATGCAGATAATAAAACAGCTAATATGTTCAATAATTTTGAAGGCGATAAAATGGAACGTGACGATAAAAATCATGAAAATATAGATACAATGTCAATAGATACCGCGCATAGTACAGTTGAAGATAATTTAAAATATATATTCGTCACAGAAAAATGTATTAATTATTACAAAAATCAGATATACCTTAGATATGGCCAGAAAGAAAATATTTATATTAAAATCGTAAATAAAAAGTGCCAAAACCACGTAACGGTAACGAAAGATTCGAATTTAAAGGAAATCATGCAAAAAGTTTTGATAAATAAAGGAATAATGTGTCTTTTTTGCGAGAATAATGAGCTGTTTATAAAATTTCAATATCTATATGTAACTTTTTTTAAAAAAAATAATCTTATTATTTAAATAATCTTATTATTTAAAAGAAATAACAGATAAAAATGAGGTTCTTACTATAATAGAAAGCGAACATTTGCGTAATAATCATAGGGGTATACAAGAAGTATTCCTGGAGCTAAAAAATAAATACTTTTACCCTAGGTTATTCAAACTAATAACATATGTAATTAATAATTGTTCAGTATGCCAAGTAGCTAAATATGAAAGACATCCCGTAAAAACTCAGTATCAAGTCACTGAAACTCCAACACATTTTAATGACATAGTGCATATTGATATTTGGTTTCCATACAGAAATGTCATGTATTTAACTACAATTGATAAGTTTTCAAAATATGCCACGTTCCATAAGCTGAATGATAGAAATTGGGTAGCCATTCTAGAAGCTTTAGAACAACGCATACAACATTTGGGAAAAATTAACAAAATAATCTTTGACAACGAGCGATGCATTTTACACAGCGCAGTACGTTTATTTTTAAAAGAACACAATATAGACACACACATTAAACGAACATTTAAGACTTTTAGAAGCTGATAAGGATAATAAAAACTTAGATATAGATGACAAACTTTTTAAAATATTTAACTTTTACAACAACACTATCCACTCTACAACCAAAAAAAATACCTATTGACTATATTATTAAAAATTTTGATAAAGTTGAAATTGATAAATTGTGCAAAATATACGAAAACGAGAAAATTGAAAGAATTGAGAAATTGAATCAAAAGAAAAATGACAAACCTGTTGAACAGGTCGACAATATTGTATGTAATAGAGAAATTGGCAAAAATAAACCTAAATACAAAAAACTTTTAGACTACAAGAAAAATGGAAATTATGTTACCGATACATCAAATAATCGTAAAACTAAATATTATAAAGCAGAATTAAAAAGACGATATAACTTACAATAATAATAATAATTACAAATGTAATAATATTAAGAAATATTTATTTTATTTATTAAGTAAAAATGTAATTTTAATTTGCGAGGTCGCAAATGTCTTAAGGGGGGAGGAGTCATATACCAATACTCCCGCTAACAACAACATACACTTCTCTATTCATTCTTTCTTTACCTGTCTTACTTATCCTCTCCTATCTCTTTTTCTCATTTCATAATTTCCATACTTGCTAATTGATCTTTCTTAAACTAAATTCTCTCTTTACTTAAATAGTAATAACAACAACAGTAAAGATTTGCACTCATTAGTTTTAAGCTTACGTACATTATGTTAACTTTTGAGATGTAAGGATTGGAAATTGGAATCATAAATAAAGTTACATTCGAAAAGAACGGACTCCTTTATTATATCATCGGCATTCGCCAAGAGCTGTACATTTTTATAACAGATTGTACCTGCTCGATTAAGCTCTGCAGCTCAAATTATTTTCTCCAGCAGCAGATTGAAGAACTCACATGAAAGGGAGTCGCCTTGTCGAAACCTCGTTTGATATCGAATGGCTCGAAGAGGTCCTTCCCGATCCTGACGGAGCTTTTGGTCTTGTTCAACGTTTTTCGAGGATACCAAATTCAGACATCCAAGCATAAAGGCAGCTCCTTTTCGTGCTGTCAAAAGCAGCTTTGAAATCGACGAAAAGGTGGAGTGTATCGATTCTCCTTTCACGGGTCTTTTCCAAAATTTGGTTGGTTTTCCAGGTCTAAAGCCACATTGATAAGGTTCAATCAGTTTGTTGATGGTGGACTTTAATCTTTCACACAATACACTCGATAGAACCTTATACACGATGTTGTGGATTGATCAGAGCACATTTAAATTCCAATCGTTGGACATGCTTTCGTCCGACCATGTTTCACAAAGAAGCTGGTGCATGCTCCTTATCAGATCTTCGGCGCCATGTGTGAATAGCTCGGCCGGCAATCCATTGACCCCGCTGCTTTGTTGTTCTTCAGACGGGTAATTGCTATTCGAACTTCTTCATGGTCGGACATCACCGCCGTCATCGCATTTCTTGGACGGCGGTGATGTCAGCCTTCACTCTAACGAGGACATCAAGACGAGGCGATTTTCGTCATCTTTCACAGGAATGGTTTTATAAAGAGATGCCTAGTGGTGAAAAAATTCTACGATCATGGATGGTATTTACTCCTATATCAAATAACCTGTACTGTTTTTGCTGTCGTCTATTTGCTGTCAGGTGGAAACTAAATCCTAAAGTATTGGACCATGAAACTGCATGTGAACATTTAGAAAATTTCGAAAAGTGGAAAACATTGGAAACGAGATTAAAATCTCACACCACAATAGATGCAATAGATAGGATTAAAATTAGAAATCAATTATATTAAACTGCTCTATTAATTTAATTGATTAATTATGATAATCGAACATTTTTATAATAATTAATCGATTAGGATTAAATTTTGTGTTCAATTAATGAGGATTTATTTCGTTTTCAAATTTAATCCTAGGATTAATCAAATTAATCAAAATTTCAATTTGATTAAAGTTTCTGATTAATTGCGATTAACGAGGATTAATAACAAATTTTAAATATTTCAATATTAATTAAAATTAAAAAATTTTACATTTTTGTGTTTTTTTATAAATTCATCCAAAAAAATTATATATTGATAATTGATAAAACATATTGGCAACTTGTTTTTATTGTTTTTCTTCTTATTTACAAGAGCGAAAAAAAATTGTTGTTGGTTAATGCATTCATTTATTATTGCTTACACGTGGTATTAAGTTTGTGCAAATAAGTCAGTTTTGCTAATTGTAGGTGCCGTCATAATGTTAATTGTAATAAAGTTAAAGTAGAATTAAAACTTGAAAGTGTAACATGTATCTAAAAGTGAAAATTATAATTTATATTTATATATTGACGTCTAATATTTGGAAATCTCAATCATTTTTGTGCCCGCATTGCAGTGATGTTTTTGAATTATTTATAGAACTTGTGTTTTTCAGTTAATATGCCTGGAGAACAAGATTTATTTGAGGAAAGCGAAATTGACTTCTCTGCTGACGACGATATAGCCGATCCCACCATTCACCATCCCAAAAGTCTCAAAAAGGAAAGGGAGTTTGCTTTGTGAGGTTGCAATGAAGGAGCGGCGTTTGGATTCCAACTGGTCTTCAAAAATAATTTGTAAGGCTGATTTCTATATCGATTTCGTGAAAGTATGTTTATGTCAGGGTTGCCAAAAAACAACAAACACTTGGAGTTAGTCATTGTGTTTGTTGTTGAGGTATTCGTGTTCAATTTTGTGTTTCTCGATCCTGCTATTATGTGTATGGTTGATAGCTACCGTGTAGTAAAGTTATTGTTTTGTCGTTGGTTTTCCCATAGTGATATGTATGTATGTTCATTCACATGCTATTTTGAAAATATACTCGTATAAAAAATAAATTAATATATTAACAGCTTTCATCAGATGATAAGGAGACAACTATTGCAAAATGCGTTGAGTGCGGACGTAATATTAGAGGCTACGCAGGGGTTTCTTCCAACTTTCTCACGCATTTAAAATTAAGACATGCTGACGCTTACAAAAAATATAAAAATATGAAATTAGGTAATTTTGGTTCACTGCAAGAATGCGTCAATGGCAAAATTTTACATTGGATTGTGGATGCTGCTATGCCTGTTTCTGTCGTTGACAGACAGTCCTTCGTCTCCATATTTGAGGATACTGGACTGAAAATAATGAACAGGCAAACCGCGAAAAAAAAGTTGGAAGATTCTTACCAAAACATGTTGGCAAAAATAAAAGATGGAATTTCTTCTGCTGAATATTTTTGTACAACTGCTGATATTTGGTCAGGGAAAAAACGTAGTTTTTTTGGTTACACTTGCCATTGGCTGACCAAAGATTTTCAAAGACAATCAGTGGCATTGGCTTGTAGAAGGTTCAAAGGTGCTCATACGGCAAAGTTGGGCAGATGATCGCGGAACTTAACAATTTCTTTAACCTTGATGACAAAAACATTGTTATGACCATTACCGACAATGGGTTAAATTTTATTAAAGCTTTTAAAGACCATGGAATTGACAATTTCCACCAGGAAGATGACAGAGAAGACGACAGCGATGACGAACTGTCTTTCCGGGAAAATAAGTTTTTATTGCCAAAATACCATCGGTGCTCTAGCCATACGCTGAACTTGCTTGCAACTACCGATTTTTTGAAAATTTTGAAAGCAGATCTGGCTGTTTACGAAAAACACAAAATGGTTAAGTTAATTATTCGTTTAAGACTTGAACACAAAATAACCAAAATAATATTTTTTTCAGATTTTTGAAAAATTTAATAGCCTTTGAAAGAAGTGCAACTGGCCAAAGTCATCAGAAGTTATTGTCGCTTATTTAGGATCAAACTTGGTTGTGCCCGTTGTGACAAGGTGGAACTCTTTGTATGATGCCGTTACAAAAATAACACATCATAAGAGTAGGCTTAATATTTTGTGCGACCAATTAAGTTTGGTCGCATTTTTCAGTGGCGTTCAATATTTGGAGTCATACAAGTTGCTGATGACTCCGATTACCTGTACTCATTACATTAAGCAACAAATTGCAAAAGCTGAGTAAAAAGGAATTTCACCTAAGCTCAGTCGCTGCAAAAATTAATCTGACCCTGTGGAGCCGATTTGAAATAGTTTTTAGTTTATCCCCTGAAGCAAATATTGCAATCACAGCTGTTGTATTGACTCCATAAGTTAAAATGAAGTGGCTGCCTGTTCTGGAAAGATCCACAACTGGCATAAACAAGGAAATAGTATCCAGAAACGTAATTCAAGAAATAAGTAGATTCGCGGAATCATCAAATCTCGCTATTCAAAATAATTTTAAAAGTAATGATTTGAAACACAGTTCGAGCTTTTTCGATTTTGATGATGATGGTAAAATCTAGTACATGTTTTGGAATATTTTTATTTTATTTACAATTACATAATTTTTTAGATGACGATAGAGCAAAGGAAACCAATAATATGGAAACAGACCAAATTGATGTAGAACRCGTGGTTTCCGATCAATTTTACGMGTACGTCAGTGATGTTTCTGACGRACCAGATRTTTGRGAGAGATGTCCCTTGTTAAAGCWAGCATCAMTATTTTTCAATACACCTCTAACTTCGTCAGCACCGGTAGAAAGACTGTTCTCCTTTGCCGGAATAGTGAATACTCCACGCCGAGGACCTTTGAAAGGCAATTTCTTCGAAAAGTTGGTCTTACTCAAAGCTATTGTAAAATTTAATAATTAATTGTTATTATTATTGTTTTGGTTTATTAAGTATATGTATATTAAATGTTGAAATATTTAAAATTTGTTATTAATCCTCGTTAATCGCAATTAATCAGAAATTGTAATCAAATTGAAATTTTGATTAATCCTAGGATTAAATTTGAAAACGAAATAAATCCTCATTTATCGAACACAAAATTTAATGCTAATCGATTAATTATTATAAAAATGTTCGATTATCATAATTAATCAATTATTACAAAAATAACACAAAATTTAATTCGATTATCAACGATTAAGATTAATAATCGTTATTTAACAGGTCTGATATTCGCCCCTATTCTGCATTTGTACTCGAATCGAAATTTTCTCCGATTGGCAACTTTGGTATTCTGCGTTTCGATTCAACTTCGAAAATTCCAATTCTATGTATTCTGCATTGCGATCGTAATTACGTTTTTGTACGTTGAAGTTTTGTTGGCGGAAAGCCGTTATATATTCATTTTCGTGCACTTGGATAAAATAATTTCCTCAAATATGTAAGTAAAACTTTATGATTATAGTTGTAAAAGATATAATAGTGGTGTCCTTGGTTGTTTGTGCTTAAATGATATTTTTTGATATGTGTGCAGGTCAAAAGTAACAACTGTAGACCAATACGAAAAATTGTGTGATATGATGGCCACGAAAAGAGATATTGTGCAGGGCTTCCAAAAGCGACCGAAGGAAGAAATACAGGAGTTTTGGGCCCACCAACAAAAGATTCGAATACATGGAGAAAGGTAAGGTATTATCTACAATTAATTTTAAAAAATTAGGTTAAATCTAACGTTTTCGTACAGATCTGGATTGACTGGAAATACATGAAGCGAAAATTATCGCATAACAAAAAAGAAAGAATGAGCACCGGTGGAGGTCCTTGCCGACGCAACGGCCAACGCATAAGCCCACTTGGAGAAAAGGTGATAGCTTTGACGGGTTTGGAAACATGCACAAGTGGAATAAGTGGGGCCCGCGATTATGGCGACAGTGTGGAGGTAGAAGATGGTGCCGAAACCACTGAAATTGACATTTCCGCTCGTTCGGATGATATCCCTTCAACAAGTAGAGCTAGCAGCCAAAATAGAGAGGCGAGAGCAGACAAGGAGAGCACTTCTTCATTACTTAAGCAACAGATACAAAATCAAAAAGAATTTTTTTCAGAGACGAAAACATTCAATCAAGCTGCCTTTGGTAAAATAGAAGAAGTTACTACATATTTACGGCAMATGAATCGTTCTTTAGAAACTTTGACGGAGACTGCAGTGAAGCAACTTGAAGAACAGAAGCGACACAATAGAATTAAGGAAGAGCTGGTGAAGGAAAAAGTAGAAACAAAAATGCAAATGCTAAGATTAGATCCAAATTATAAGACGGATTCAAAGTAGTCATTTTTTAATTGTTAGCCTTTTGTTTATTTTACTATTATTGCTGTGAAATGAAATAAAAACATTTACTTTTTTAATATAGGAGCTGTAAAATGCACTGAATGCAATTGTTTTTATTTAATAGAGTAATGTAGAGCATATTTTGAATAAACTAAAAAATTAATATAAAATATTTTAATTTAAAAAGCAGAAAGTATGTTGCACGGAGGATGGAGTCATGTGTAGAAGTTCACGCAAGTGAGGAAAGTTTTCTGATCGCCATTCACGTGGGAGTGGCCAGAAACGATTCTTTTACAT